CTAGAAGCCTGCAAAGACCTCGCGAAGAACCCTAAGATCCCCCCAGGAGCCGCAATCCAAGCAATGGTCTCTCAGCAATCCAAGCTACGCAAAGCGAGTTCGTCATCCGATAACAGCCAAGAGTTTTCAGTTAAATCCTCGAGACAATCCGCCGCCATCTACGACCCTTATACGGCGGCGGCGACTTCTCCTGAACCTTTGGGTGAGAAGGAAGAGCTTAAGGTAAATCTGCAGAAGATGCAGAACAGAGTTGTGGAGTTGGAGAAGGTTTGTTCGGAAATGAAGTGCCAAATGAATAAGATGGTCAGGGGGAGAGCAGTAGTCTCAAGAAGCAGAGGAGTTGCCAAGCTCTGCTAAGTGTTGATTTTGATTTTGATTTTGATTTTTTTTTTAAAACCATCCTCTGTCACATAGAATAAAGGAAAAAAAAAATTTCCCACTTCTGTATGAAATTGATTCGGTTCTCCATTCTGTCATAAAAATGTTTGTGAGCGCAAGAAAATTTGTGATGAAGTCCAGGAATTAAAGTTCAGGGTTCTCAATGCAAATACGAATCCATGGATTAAGCATGGATAAAGCCAGAGCAGCTGTTGTTTTCTAGTCAGAAGCCTGGTCGATATCGACAAAACGGTCACTAATAGTCCCCAGTAAACCAAAGCACAATGGACAACAATCACATCACATGAGAAATATAAGCGTAGTTTTTTCTTTGTAGTTTCTGCATGTGAGATGGAGCCTTCACAACTTTTGTGATGCTCAGCATGTCCTGGCTCTAATTTAAGCGTAGTTTTTTTCTGTTTGGTGAGTGTCACTTAGCGATGGAGGATTAATTAAGAGAGGGTAAGTGACAGACTGGAGCTTTAAGCTGATGCGAACAAAAATAATATCAGGGTGTTTTATAATTGCAACAGGTTGTAACAAAGCCAACGACACTCAGCAAGTTATGTTTAAAGCATAAGCATTTTTGTTCAAAGAAGATATTTTAGGCAAGGAAGTTGATAAGAACCGAGAGCTCAGCATAAGACTGCTGCTCATGGGGCGTAGCAACCAATTAAAGATGCAAAGATAATAAAGGCTTTAAAATTGCAAAAGTTTTGAAGAAGAATACATATTTTATTTACCCACCCCTGCTTGAATCAAAATAGTCTTCATTGATTGAGACCCAAGTTTTTCAAATCCTATGCGCGACCTCCGATGCTGTTCTCACTGTTTGATGGTCCTGCAAATCTGAGCCTTAGAAAGAGCAGAATAAAAACACCAGACTATCTGTAAGCTGCGTATACTGCCATAATACCATACCATTTGAATTTTGATCACAAGAAAGTAGCGTATTGAACTTATGGGTGCACAAGAGTATCCGTATCCAAGTAATTATCCGTATCCATATGATATCCGTCAGGATGGCGGATACGGCTACTAAAATCTATAACCGGTGAGACCTAGTTATGCAATGAGATATCCTGATCCGTATCGGAAATATTCGAGTACATATATCGGTCGTACTGTTGCCATTATTAGATGAATAGATTTGAGGTTAATTCTATGATCAAAATATCTAATCTTAGCTTTTCAGATATAACGAACATATTCACAGAACTATTCAATATTATCTAATTTTAGCATACCTATCTTGTATCCGCGTGTGTAGCTGCCAATATATCCCCATGTATATTCATATATGATTTTGGCTGATAGGGATATGAATTTCCCTAGGCACATGCCACAGATACCATATGTTTCTTAGTAGCCTACAATACAATTTTACCATGGTTTCATGAAATGGAGATTTATCCAAAAGAGGATACGTGAGCGTAGCTTTAAGCTGATGAGAACAAAACAACATTAAAGTACTGAAGTGATGTATAATTGCAACAGGATGTACGATCGCAACGGGTCATAACAAGGCCAACACTGTTCTGATGCTAGTGACAAATTAGCACCTGGTTTCCCTTCTCTAGCAAAAGCTGTTTACAGAAGAAAAAAAGAAAATTTCCGAAGGGACAGAGCAACCAATTGGAGATGCAAAAAGAAAGAGTCTAAAGTAGCAAAATTTCCGAAGAAAATACAAATTTTATTTTTGCCATCAACTGGGATGGAATAGAAATCTTGACTTGGATTGAAGTTTGTGAAATCTTATGGAGATCTCTGTCATTGTTCTGAGCAGCTCCTCAAGCTATTTGCTGACCCTCTTGCGGAATGAGTCACAGAGAGTCACGTACAAATCCGAGCCTCAGAATGAACAGAGAAAAACACAAGCTTATCTGAAGGTTGCACATAGTGCCATAAACACCATGCCCCATTTGATCACAAGAAAGTAAAAAGATTGCACGTCTATACGAGATTAATAGTTGTATGATGAGCAAACTGATGGGAGCAGGAAATGATAGTGGACCATTTGCATTATTCACATAAGGTTCATTCTGCCAGAGTCCAGATATGCAGCACTGGGAACAGAGACTGCACATAAAATTGAAACACAAGGGGAGATTTTGGAAGCAGACAAAGCACAGGCTCGGAGTGGGCGCCAATTGCCAGGGTAGACTGCGTTAGGGAGAGCAAATAACAGGAAAAGAATTGCCAACTTGCATACTAGTTCATTGTTTATAGAACTACCAACATTATGTAAGCATTTCTTAGCAAAGCACATTAATCACCAAAAGATAATAAAGAAAGACAGAAGCATCTGAATCACATCCAAGATTGAGTGTAGAAGAGATGCATCGAGATGAAGGGTACAAGATATAATTGTTGATGATGCAAGTAGTCGAGTGCGCAAGAAATGAAGAAAAATATTGAGGAAACATACCATATTCCATATTGCTCAACAGAAACTGAAGTTACAGGTGGGAAAAGATAGCTATTTAAACATCTAAATTCCAACTATTAGCCCAAATTATGCACTCATCAGATTCATCAGACAGCATAGATTCATCAGACAGCATAGATTGGGCTGGCCTATCAACCCTCATTAGAAATCACTGCAGGAAGAGGAAGAAAGAGTAAAGACAAGTTCAATTATTTGTAAATAATTGCATAACACTATATGACTCAAGTTGTACTTTGCAATTTGCATATCAGCAAATAATCCAATCACTTACAAATATCAGAGGTTAAATCACTTACAAATATCAGAGGTTAAATCACTTACAAATATCAGAGGTTACCTACACTCAAATAAGCAACACAAAACAACTGATACAAGTAGGCAACTATCAAGCTTACTAGTTGACGACACATCCATGGAGTTTTTGCTTTTCAGGGTGCTATTTGAATGGCATAATCAGCCAAGGACAAACACGCAGAATCATTCACTACCAAAGACTTTTGACTCTTGAAAATGAAATTTCCCAAAAGGAAGGACGCTATTAAAATCAGGACAAAAGCGCCACATGTTAGCAAATCAAGCCATGACACTAGCTAGTTTCAGTATGTATTACAAGTTATATACACTAGTTTAAGAAGGTATTTATCTTTGAACAGGGACATGCTGTTGGATCGTGATGGTATGAGGCTATGACAAGGAGATGTGGTGTATTGATCCAATAAAATATATTCACAAAGCTATAATCACCTATAACAATTCCCATACAACTTACAGCAAGCTAAGGTTTACTCTAAAATAAAATAAAAATAAAGGACTTTTACTGAGCATATAGGGCTACATACCCCTCTACTTATAATGATCTTTTCGTTTATGGAAATAAAATAAAAACTAAATTCGCGTTAGCAATGACTTGGCACTGGAAGTTTTTGCCTGAGCAAGAACCTCATGCTAGCATTTCAGGTGCTACAAATTGAATCATCAGCCAATGGTTCATTGCAACTGCAAATGCTATCTCCATGACACCATCTAAGCTATTTGCAATAAAAAAAATGAACTGGATCGTGGATAAAATTGACTTGTTAATAACTAGTAGTATTTTCTTCGTCTTATCTTATTTTCTAACAAATACAGTTCAGTTTTATGATACAGCTGCCACTGAGTATGGCTCCAGCTAGAACACAACTACATCTATTCTAGGCATCTATCAGTGATACATATTGGAAGAAATTTTCAAAACAGACTCAAACCAAGTTTTAATTTTCAAAATCGACTCACCTTTTTTTTTATTACAAAAATCGACCTATTTTTTGCCACGTCAGCTTAATCTCATTTCCTAATTAGTTGGGGTTGCCAACCCCGACTATTTAGGGCATAAAAAATCGGGTTTAAGGTTTCTAATTGGGGTTTAACAACCTCCTAACAGTCGGGGTTGCCAACCCCGACTGTTTAGGAATAAGATTAAGCTGACGTTGCAAAAAGTGGGTTGATTTTTGTAAAAAAAAAAGTGAGTCGATTTTGAAAATTAAAACTTGTGCTGAGTCTGTTTTGAAAATTTCTTCATACATATTGTGAATGACAATTGTACTTACAACACTGTGGTACTGCATTCTATCTCAAACGGCGGTACAATTTTCTGCATCCAGTATATGAATACTCAGAATAGGAAAAAACTAATTACAGTCCTTAACCTGGAAAACCTCTTTATCAAGTGATACTTTGTGTAAACTTCTACGAACAGCAGTAAACATAAAGAGATTCAAGCCTTGACGTGTAAATCAAACAAAACCTGCATTACATGCATGTTCCCAAATCATATCTCCAGC